AGGCCTGCCGTCAAACCGCAGCTGCAGAGGGCTACCCACCGGCGCAGCAAGCAGCTGAGGTGGCCCACTTTCACACAACTGTTTGATGCCTCGACTTCTTGCAGAAACACGAGTTCGTCTTCTGCTGTTTTTCCATTCACTTTGGCTGCCAAGTTCACCTCCCTGTGCGCACTGCGTCAGCTGCGTTTAGCTCTCTAAATCAGTGTTTCTCAATCCCATCCTCTAGCCGGTCCACATTCTCACTCTTTCCCGGCTCGTAGCCAATCAAGAACACTGAGTAGTTGGTACTGTTGGACTGGGAGCTGGGAAGGTGGAAAAACCTGGACTGTCTGAGGTCCTTGACAATCATTGATCGTCAAGATTGTGCGAAACAGTCACAGGCCATTCTCTGGAGCTCAGGATTAGTAGAACCTTCCGGGTTGTGTTTGCTTCTCATCGTCATGCCGAAGGCTTCCGACAAGTGCTTGTGACGCCAGGGTCATATAAAACTATGAGTACAGCGGAGAAAAAGTAAGGCATGTATTCAAAGGACAGCGGTCTAAAAAACAAACGGCAAACCTTTTAACACTAATAACGTAACTCAAAGGATCCTTTCAGGCAGTGTGCTGTAGGGTTTATTAAAGCATTATTAGTATTGAATTTTGATTGATTGAACCCAATATTTATAGAATGATCACCTGACACCAGAGCCGGAGCGACAGAGACAGCTGGGTCCCTGAGCCCGGTCGCACATTGCGGGGACCGGTCTGCCGTAATCGTGTTTTTGTTTCTCACAAAAGCGAAAATAAAGCACTTGTGTTCATTAAATTCTTCTGTTGATGTTAATTTAGACTTCATGCTGAAATAATGTTAATAATGCTTTTTATTACAATTACTTCAATGTGAAGTCTAAATGAATTGTGTTAAGTGTTATAGGATGTTGTCGTATACCCTAAAAGGTCATAGCAAATGGTGAAAATGAGTTTTGTTTCCTGCGGTTAGCGAACAGTGTATGTTTTTAAATGAAGCCTATTTCACTCTGTCCCAGAACTTGCAGAACAGAAATGTGTGATATTGTTTTGGTAGCCAAAGGGTTTTTTTTTGAAGTCCAGGATTCTGCTGAAATGACGGGAGGAGGAGTATATTTTCTGAGAGTGCTTTTGAGATTGATGTTAGAAGCCCCATACCAGGTGTTCAGTGGTGGCGTTCAGTGGTGTTGGGCGATGTTAGGGCCTCTGGGGGCCCAGAGCAAAACTCCATGGGGCCATTCAACTCCCC